CGCCTTTAGGGGGCGGGGCCGGGGCGGGGCCGGTGGCCACGGGGGCGACGTCACTGGCCACGGAGGGGGCGGGGGTGGCCCCAGTAGCTCCAGAGTTGATACTGGGGACACTGGTGGCCACTTTGGGGACGGTGGTGGCCACATCGGAGACGGTGGTGGCCACTTTGGGGTCGTTGGTGGCCACAGCGGTGGCCCCAGTAGCTCCAGCGTTGACACTGGTGACACTGGTGGCCACTTCGGGGACGGTGGTGGCCACGGAGTTGACACTGGTGACACTGGTGGCCACTTTGGGGACGTTGGTGGCCACATCAGAGACGTTGGTGGCCACGGGGGTGGCTCCAGAGTTGATACTGGTCATACTGGTGGCCACAGCAGAGACGTTGGTGGCCACTTTGGGGACGTTGGTGGCCACATCAGAGACGTTGGTGGCCACGGGGGTGGCACCAGTAGCTCCAGCATTGACACTGGTCATACTGGTGGCCACATTGGGGACGTTGGTGGCCACGGCGGTGGCCCCAGTAGCTCCAGCGTTGATACTGGTGACACTGGTGGCCACAGCGCGGACGGTGGTGGCCACAGCAGGGAGGTTGGTGGCCACAGCGGGGACGTTGGTGGCCACGGAGGTGGCACCGGTAGCTCCAGCGTTGATACTGGTGACACTGGTGGCCACGGTGGGGACGCTGGTGGCCACCGCAGAGAGGTTGGTGGCCCTGGGGCCACTGGTCAAACTGGTGGCCACGGTGGGGACGTTGGTGGCCTTGGGAGCGACGGCGACGCTGGTGGCCACTGGGGTGACGCTGGTGGCCACGGTGGCTGCAGGGGTGGCCTTGGGAGCGCTGGTGGCCACGGAGGGGACACTGGTGGCCACGGGGGTGACGGTGACACCGGCCGGAGCGGTGGCCTTAACGCTGGTGGCCACGGAGGGGACACTGGTGGCCACAGCGCGGACGGTGGTGGCCACAGCAGGGAGGTTGGTGGCCACAGCGGGGACGTTGGTGGCCACGGAGGTGGCACCGGTAGCTCCAGCGTTGATACTGGTGACACTGGTGGCCACGGTGGGGACGCTGGTGGCCACCGCAGAGAGGTTGGTGGCCCTGGGGCCACTGGTCAAACTGGTGGCCACGGTGGGGACGTTGGTGGCCTTGGGAGCGACGGCGACGCTGGTGGCCACTGGGGTGACGCTGGTGGCCACGGTGGCTGCAGGGGTGGCCTTGGGAGCGCTGGTGGCCACGGAGGGGACACTGGTGGCCACGGGGGTGGCGTTGGTAGCCCTGGGGCCATCCCTGGGACCAGTCACAGCGGTGGCCACCGCAGGGGGGATGGTGGCCACGCTGGCCTTGGGGGTGACGTTGGTGGCCACGCTGGCCTTGGTGGCCCCCATGGCAGCAGTGATGGCCCCCGGGGTGAGGTTGGTGGCCACGGGGGGCTTGGTGGCCCCTGGGGTGACGACGGTGGCCACGGTGGCCCCTGGGGTGCTGATGGTGGCCACGGTGGCCCCTCCGATGGCTTTGGTGGCCCCGGGGGTGACAGAATCCACGGCGGCCTTGGGGACGATGTTGGTGGCCACGGGGGTGACGTTGGTGGCCACGGGGGCCTTAGTGGCCCCTACGGTGGCCCCCGAGGGCCCAGAGTCCACGGTGACCTTGGTGGCCACGGGGGTGACAAGCGTGGTGGCCCCCACGGGGGCTTTGGTGGCCCCGGGGGTGACAACAGTGGCCCCCGGGGTGGCTTTGGTGGCCACTGGGGTGACAGAGTCCACGGCGACCCCTGCGGTGGCTTTGGTGGCCACTGGGGTGAGGGTGGTGGCCACGGTGGCGTTGGTGGCCCCCAGGGTGGCGTTGGTGGCCACGGTGGCTTTGGTGGCCCCTGGGGTGACAACGGTGGCCACGGTGGAGTTAGTAGCCCCCACGGAGACGTTGGTGGCCCCCGGGGTGACAACGGTGGCCACGGAGACGTTGGTGGCCCCCGGGGTGGCGTTGGTGGCCACGGAGACGTTGGTGGCCCCCATGGAGACGTTGGTGGCCACGGAGACGTTGGTGGCCCCCGGGGTGACGTTGGTGGCCCCCGGGGTGCCAGCGACAGCGGTGGCCTTGGGGGTGACATTAGTGGCCACGGGGGCGCCGCTGGTGGCCACGGGGGCGCCGCCGTCCACGGTGGCCTTGGGGGTGACGTTAGTAGCCACAGGGGTGACGTTAGTAGCCCGGGGGGCGCCGCCGGTAGCCACAGCGACCTTGGTGGCCCCCGGGGTGGCCGGGGGGGCCTTGGTGAGGTTGGTGGCCACAGGGGAGGGGC